AAGGTTTATTTTCAAAAGAGCAACCAGCTGAATTTGGACCATGAGCCATAGTTAACTCCTGTTCTCACTGGCCTCCTTGCTTCCATCCTTGCCCCAATGCTGTTTTTTAAAAAAAAAATTTTTCAACACAGCAGCCAGAGGAATCCTTTTAAACAAGTCAGATGACGTCATTTCTCTGCTCAAAACTCTGCAGTAGCATCCCTTCTCAATCAGAAAAAAAAAAAAAAAAAAGCAGAAGTCCTTTCCACGAGACCCTACCTGATCTGGCCCCACTCATGTCCCTAAACCTCACATCTGACTACACTCTCTCCCTCGTTCACACTGCGGCAACTGCACTGACCCCCTTGCCGTTTCGCAAATAGGCGAGGCATACCCAGACTTAGGGCGTTCGCACTGCTATTTCTTCTTCCCCCAAATATCCATAGGGCCAATGCCTTCACCCTCTTCCCTTCTTTGCTCAAATGTCACCTCTTTAGTGAAGCCGGTGCTAACCACCGTTTGAAATTACAACCTTCCTCCGTGACTCCAAACCCTCCTCACTCTACTCGATTTTTCCAAATACGTAACACTTTCTAACATAAAAATAATTTACTCGTCTATATCTCTCCTAAAATATAAGTACACCAGGCCAGGGCTCTTTGGATTTTATTCCCTTGTGTATCCTGAGACCCTAGAGCAGTGCACGGCACATAGTAGGCATTCCATAGTAGGCACCGAAGGCATGAATCTGTGTAGCCTCCCGGAGGTGTAACGCGTCACTCTGTCCTGGGTATTACTTCAACTCTCTGTACGTGCCACTCTTTGAGACCTTTTTATCCTCATCCATTATTATTTATATATCTGTCTTTCCCATTTCTGAGCCGTGATCTTTTTGGACATTTTCTATATGTTTATTTTCACAAACTAATACAACCCGTCCTGTAGCAAAAGGTCGAGTTATGCCAGCTTAACGAATGCACAAAGGTGCTGCATACGCTTAGTTCTCCGGTACCAAATCACTAACTCTGCAAGTCAGTTATCATTTAAAAAGTCTCTCCTCACTCCCCACGCCTGATACGTGTATACACACACTCTGCTAATTGAGATCATTTAAAACTATTTTTCACATATTTGCTTAATTAGCTTGCAGTGACCTCTGCAAAAACATTGGCCTCTGATGATTATAAGAGGTGGTTTTCTGGCATGGACACCAAAGCATCAAAGAGTCAGTTGGAGCTAAGGAAAGCAATAACACAACTGGTTTGAATTACTCATGACAGGCAGCTGAATATATCTGACACAGGTCTTCTCCCCAATACATCACTCAAAACAGACCAGTTACAGGAAATGGCGGAGAGGGGGGAAAGAAAGGATAAGGCCACAATGTGTCCATAATACAAAGCAGATCGTCTTTCACGTGGATGACCTTATCCATTTTGTTTTCTGTTTTTATGATGGTCCTGAATCTATGGAATTGCTGACCCCTTAGGACTTGGCATGCTTCCCTGCTGGTGCTTAGTAGTGGCTCAGGTTCTCAGAAGAGGAGGTAGGTGAGGATCGTACCCATTCATGAATCACTGAGCAAGCCAAGGGGTCCTCCAGAGTTCATTGAGAACTGCAGGCATGTTTGCAATTAATTCATCTCTGAAGTACAGGTGAACACCTTCTACTTCCATCCAACATTCACACAAGGACTGACTTCATCTGTAACCTGGTCGGTCTACTCACAGTTTCAACATATCTCTCTTATGAGGTGCACCCTCTTACGTGATGAAATTCTGGTCTTTGGGTGGACCATATCCTTGGGTTGGCTCATTTAAACAAACAAACAAACAAACAAACAAACAAACAAATTTCCTCACGTGTCAGGATTTTGCCTCAGGACCTGGTTTTCTTGCTAGTCTCCTCCTGGAGGCTTGTCTGATCCCTGGGCTCACTGCATTTCCTTCTGTGCATTTCCCGGTTCTGGGCAGCTTGCACTGTGTGATCACTGTTTCTGCGCAGCCTTGTACATCCAGTGCTCACGGAACTTCAGAAGCCCTCGTTTTTCCCACTGCTTTGCTCTGATTCCTGTTTGATGCCTCCAGGAACCTAGACTGCCCCCCGAGTCTTTCTGCTACTCATAGCATCGTCTTTTATACTTTCGACAAAAGTTTGAGCTCTTGCAGCATACAAGGGCCTATGCTAAAGAGGGAGATCGCAACCATGAAAGCTCCATTATGGAGCTCAGAATTTACTAGCAAGTGAGTGGGCAATTACAGTGCCATGTAAGCGCTGTGATATAAGCAGGGGGTATGAGAGTAGCACATAGTAGGGGCACTTAACCCAGCACCTGGGGGTGGGGGCGGGAGAAGCTTCCCTAGAGTCAGTGACGTCAAAACAGTTGGGACAGACAAAAGAGGACGAGAGCAGTTCTGTTCTAAGGCAGGAGCACGTCTAAATTCTGCGAGTCGTAAGTGGCAGCTCCTTCAGGGAATGCCGGGCAGTTAGGTACAACTACATGGGCTGTGGAAAACCTGGGCTACAGAGGGAACCAGGGCTAGATCACGAAAGGCTTTATTGTCATTCTAAGGAGCGGGAAGTCGTCCTGTGGGTCATAGGGAGTCAATGAAAGTGTCTATGTAACATGGTTATGTTTATGTTTTAGAAAAACTAGCATCAGTGTGGAGAATAGATTTCACCATCTATTTCCCTGAATCTGGCCCACATTCTTGCCTGCCTTACCATATCTTCTGTGGCTCCAAAGAGCCCAGCTCCACGCCCCTGTCCCCATCCGTATCCTCAAACAAAACTAAGGATCAGAATCAGTTTAAGACCTTATAAAAATACAAATATCTTAGCCCACTTCATGGAACTAGACTGTCATAAGTACAGGGCCTGTGAATCTCTATCTTATAAAAGTTTCCCAAATGATTCTGGGGCAGTCGGACCATGGACAGCGTTTGTAAACTAAACATCGACTGTCATTCCATGACACGAATGGGTTCACGTCAGCGGCGTGTCTGGGTTACTGAGTTAGGCAGGAATGACTGCGGCAGATCTCACTCTAAATGTCTTCCTTCTACAGCGTGTCTGACCCTAGTCCCAGGACCAGAAACACCAGTCTCTTGCTTGCGTCTTGCTTGCAGTCCCCTTGTTCTTTGAATAACATGTCCAAACCCTAACATGACCTCTGAGGCAGCATGAGCAGCTCCAGCGGCCCCTCAGTCACTCTCCCCTTTATCTCATACTTGTTATTCACAGCATGAAAGGGGAGGGGTACTGATACCATTGACTCCCTGACTTCTGCTCTCTTGGTTAAGTCAAGGGTACGTATGGAGTTGGGAAATTGAATAGAGCAATAAAGATCTGAAAATTTCTAAGGAGAATAGAAGGTGACTCGACTTAGGGAAAAGGGACAGCTGATCAACCTCAAAGACTCAACTTAATTAGAGGTCACATCTACCCATGTCCGTAGGACAATTATGTTATTTCCTCCATAAGCTCAGGAACCCAGTATCAGAGAAAATGGGTAATTATGTCAATCAGCATCCGAGTGTTAGCAAAGCAGAAAGTCAAGAGGCAAGATAATTAAGGGTACTGTTGTAGGAAAAAGAAAAAAGAAAGTTCCTGGGATGGGCCTAAAAAAGACTCAGCTGATTTGCTCCGAGACACAGAGAATTAAAACTCGAGTGCCTTCGTTTGCCATGCTCAGGTTATTGGGTAATGGTGCGCTGTTTGGTTTGGGTCTGCTCTCTGGTTTGTTCGGTAATGGCTCCAGCCCACATTCTGTTGTGTTACCGTAGAGCGTGGTAACATACAACGGCTAGAAGGTGCCTGGGGCAGAGTGAGGGACATAATTTTCCATAAATGAAACTACCAACGTAATGCTATATCGAGGCAGTACATTTTTTTTATCATTTTTATTTTAGTAAATGTCTTATAATGATTATTTTCCTCCTAAGTTACAACTATGATTTGCAGATATGATTTTAATGATAGCATATCCACGCAATAGACCTTCTTTACTTAAACTGATTCTTTGCATTTCATAGGAGACCCAATATACATCAAGATAAAAATAGATGTATATCAAAATAGAAATATGTGCTTCAACACGAAGATAGTGGAGTGTTTTAAAGGCAATAGCAGTTATATTTAAACATTCTGCTGGTAAAAAATTAAATTACATTTGGTTGTGAAAGATTTTAGATCATTTTTAATTAAGCCAAGGCCTTAAATTAATCCAGTTAGTTCACTTTTCAGGTTTATCACTTCCCTTCTCTTTCCGACGTATATTCGTGTCAATGACGGTAACAGGAGCCGCTGCGACGAAGCCAGCAGCATTGCGAGCCGCCGGCTAAAATTAGATGATCAATGACATTTGGTTATATGTTCACAGCTGAAATTTCAAGGGTACAACATTTTCTCCTGAAAGGAGACACCTCCCCATCCCTAAAATGCAGCCTTCTGTTATCAAATTACATCCATATGACATCATGGGGTGGTGAAACTGGCCCGAAATAGAGAGTGAAACCATATACTTTTTCTATCAAGAGAAAGACTAAAGACAGAATTAAGTAATGGGCTGGTTTTCATAAGATTATTTTGACGGTGCCTCTTAATTAGGGAAGATTTTTGTCCGAGAGAAGCAGTAGTCCCAAGAGGGAGGAAGTGTAATGAATCCAGCATGAAGGCAGCCGAAGGGGGTCTAGGCCTTCTGCGGCGCTCTCTATGCACATCTCCAGTGGCCGAGGCAGTGTGGAATTCGTGGACACCGCTGCCTTTTCCGTTCCCGTGGATCCGTGGACACTTTAGGTGCACATCACGTTTTTCCTGATGTTTCTTTCACTCCATCTATCCTTCGGAAAATCCAGTGCGCAGGTACTTATAGAATTAGTGGAAACTTGAGCAGACGACATCACCGGTCGTTTTCAGACACGTGCTACATCCCTCCTCTCCATCCCTCCGTGAATTAATGACAAGGCGCACGGCAGAGGGGAGCGCCCCGGTGTGGTCCGGCCGCTGACTCCCGCCGCCCATCAGGAGCGCGCGTCACTGTGCAGTGCGAACATCCACACGGGGACGCACTGCTCCGGAAAGCCGTCCTGCTTCTCCTGGCCCAGCACCTGCAGCCCACTCTTCCCAATGAGGCTCCGGAGGATGTCCATGTCCCGAGTCACGCTGCTGTCAGAGAGATCTAGGACGCAGCCCTCGCGAGCCACATTGTCCTTCAGGATGATGACACCGCGTTCTTTCAGGCCATCTCGGCACCGGGAGAGAAATGCAAGAAGGTCTTTATCGGTTAGGTACCCTACAGATGAGGCCAAGTAGATGGGGAAACAGGATGGAATGGTGGGTGGGAAGGAAGGTGAATAGGAGAGAATCAGGAGACCATCTGTTCACTCACTCGTGAATTAGTTAATAGCCTGGATTGTTTCCTTCGCAGGAGGCACTGAGAATTTAGATAAGAGGACAGATCCTTTTTATAAAATAGATATTATCCTACCTTGTCTGTGTCTGTCTATAAAATAGATATTATCCTACCTTGTCTGTGTACCTCATAGATGTCAGGTAAATTATTGCCCATCCCATGGGTCCCCTCTATGTCCCCCGGACAACCCAACTCTATCGTGACTCCTCTGTGTTTCCTCCTACACACACAGACACACACACACACACACACACACTCACACTCACATCTAATTCACTGTTGTCTCATGTCCTGGAAATTGAAATCTAAGAAAGTCTAGTTTTGCCAATAAATGGGGATAAACTTTCTATAGCCCCACTTCTTAAAGTTTTTCAAGTATTTAGGTCTTTTAGGATTCGGGTTGTTCCAGAGGCACTCCATCCCTAGAGATGGGACTCGTCCAGCTTACGGAGAGTGCATTAGGGGAGAACTCTGAAAGACCAGAGCTGCTCAGGGGCTCCCGTGATGCCTAAGGCTAGCTGGCCGCTCTCAGCACAAGTGCGGCCAGCTGCTCTTTCTGGCCTCACCCCCTCGCTGCGCTTCCTCACATTAGCCCAGGTGTTGTCTTCTCTCTCTGGGAAGGGGAGACGGGCAGAGGCAACGTCATCACGCAGGACTAACCGGAGACCCACTGGATCCAGATGACATCGTATCTCCCCAGTGGGGGCGTGAACTCCTGCAGGCTGTAGCAGTGGTAACTTTCGACCTTCTCTCCTTTGACCTGCAGGTAGTTCTGGGCTTCCAGGAGGAACGACTCCATCATGTCCACCAGTTCCACGCTGTTGAAAACCGGCAGCAAGACGTGCTTGCTGACCCGTCCTATCCCGGAGCCGCAGTCCAGGGCGCAGTCCGTTCCGGCTCCCCCGGGCCCCTGCACAGAGGTACAGACAGCCACTTGAGTCTCAGACACTCCAGTTACCGCTTCAGATCTACGTTACTTAGGTCAGTTTCGTATAATAAGATGCAGTATTTTAAGAGTATCATTCAAGGAGTTTGAACAAATGTATACAAGGCACATACTACCACAGTCAGGTTATAGAACATTCGGTTACCTTTTCCGAAAAGTATCCAGACATTTCTAGTTTTTGCTTTCTTTGTTTTACTCAAATATAGATCTTTGAATTTCAAAATAGGATTTTAGAAAATAGTGTCAGTTTAAAACTTGGTAATTTTCTTGGAAATAGGCCATTGAAAACCCTATGAAAATAAAGTTTTGTCAACCTTAAAGCTGGATCATACCCACTGCTAAATGGACCTGCACTGTAGCTTATTGCTGTACATATATACACGTGTGTGTGTGCGCACACACACACACATAGACACACACACACACAAAGACAAAGCAGTGAGAGCCTTTCTGACTTAAAAAATGTTTTAATTCACTTAATGAACACATTTTCATTCATATTGGTACGATTGAAATTTTATATTTTTCAAAACTGATTTTGGGGACTCCGAAGTATCTATTCTTCTGGTGTGGGTGGTAATTTTTAGGACCAGAGCTGAAAGAATTCTATTTCGTTCTCAAGCCAGGATTTTACTTCAAACCCAGCCCCGAGTTGCAGCAAAGTCTCCTTGTTGTAGGTCTGTGCGTGCAATTAACCGAGATTGACGGATAGATTGGCGGTAGAGGTCAGGGAAGTCAGCCAATGCGAACTTCCTCAAACTTGCTTCTCTATAGTAATATATAAGAACATGTATGTTTATGTGACCAGCTGCATCTTTGCGATATCATACTATCCATATCTATCCATATCGCAAAGATGCAGCTGGTCTGTTATTTGGTCATGATTGGGATGGCTGTTCAGCGGGTTTGTGCTGGAAATTACAGGAACGAGATACCTGAAGGGGCCAGTGCAGATCTTAAGCAGAAAGCCTGCTCTTGATTTCTCGAAAACTAAGGATTGAAAAAAATGTTGGCTAAGGATCAAAAGGTAAAGTTTGAGCAGAAGGAAAGATCAGAAATGCTGATCCACCCAGAAGACCTTCCTGACAGCAGGAAAGGTCAATGAGGAAGAAGCGGAGCAGCCGTAGCCTCTTCCAAAAGGAATAAAAATAACCATGGTTTATTGAGTGCTTGTATGTCGTGAGGGTTTTGTATCTATAATAACTATAGTAATCAAAACGATTCCACAAGATACTGATTTTTCCACAATTTGGAGATGAGGAAACTTTGATTTCTAATGTCACCCGGCTGATGGCAGAACTAGAATTTGGACAGGGAACTGCGACTCCAAAGCCCCTTCGACCTTAGGGTCATCACCTCAAGTAACAACTCTGATTCCCTTGGTAGTGTCTGTCTAATGCTGTGTTGTAAAGAATTCTAAGGCTTCATTGAGACTTAGCAGGAAAGAGGTCTGTGATTGATTAGTGATGTCTGCCTTGAGTATGGGAAGGGGAAGTGGTAGTATCTGAGCCATGTGTTTGCCATTCCTCCTTACTCTATGCCACCTCCCTCATTCGGATAGTATAATTTAAACTAAACTAATTCAGAAAAAGGCCTCGGCTAAAGGTATATGTTGTGAAGGCCATAAAATAAGCATCTTCTAAATTAATGCATAACATAAATAAGATGGGGAAAGAATGAGGGAAATTATTTAAGTTACTGAAAATGACTCGTAGAAATTTCTGTGCTCAATTAGAGATTATCATTACAAATTTTTCTCATTACTTGGCCCTAAAACCTCGAATGATCGTGTGGCTCACGTCATCGTAGCACGGTTTTAGTTGTGGAACCAAGTCGCCGAACACAGGGGCTTCAGAAATATGCTGGAGGGTTTCAAGAAAATTATAACGGCCACGCTCCTGTCTCTCAACGAACAAGTAAAGACAAAACCGCTGTGGTTAAGATGAGGAAGGGCCTCGCGACCCCGCCTGCCTGTTCTCCCAGTAAGCCCAGTGAGATCGCCCAGTAAGCCCAGTGAGATCTCCCAGTAAGCCCAGTGAGATCGCCCAGTAAGCCCAGTGAGATCTCCCAGTAAGCCCAGTGAGATCTCCCAGTAAGCCCTGCAGGATCTCAGCACAGCCCTGGGGTTTTTAAACCACCCGGGTCTAATTCCCCTACTCTTTCGTGCAGAGAAACTGAGGCCCAGAGAGGTGAAACGTTTGACATAGAACTCCCTTGAGAATCCTCCACCTCTGCTTTGTATTTTTCCCCAGTTTAGATGTGTGCTATTTGACGAGTTATTCTTGAAATGGTGGTTATTCACAAATATGAAAGGCGCCTCTCACAAACCCTGTGTACCTCTAGCCTCGTGCCACTGCCGCCTGGTCCTCTGTACCCTGTGTCACCGCGCGTGGCTGGCGCTGCCTCCCACAGCCTGGCACCACGCTTCTCCCCGTCTCCCGCAGCTCCGCCGAGAAGGGGTCTCTAAGGACTGCTCTCAGGGAAGGCACCTCCGCCTCTGGGACACCAGAAGTGCCAGCCGTGACTGTCCTGAGAGCCAGTGCCCTTCCACGAATGTGACCAGAACTACATATGATGTGTGACTTCAAAACAAGGCATTTTGATATTTTCATTTTCATTTATTATGTTATCCTTATACATACGGATTTATATAAAATAGTAAAATACTCTTAGGAAATTCATTTTCATTTTGGTTCTGCTATATGTATATTGAAGGATATGATTTCAAATTCATCCAGTGCTAAAGGCTACCGTACACGAACAGCAAGGTGTAACAAATTAGACCCAGAGCGTTTAGTCGTGCAATCTCTGCGAAACGTCAAAAGAGAAATAACATCAAGTACTGATGACTTTTTATAAGTGACCACTGTCCACCTGCCTGAAAGCTAAAATGGAGGAAATTTATCAGCTATGCCATGGACATCATCTTGGTATCATTTATTTGCTAAAGTAAACACATTTGCAACAAATTTAAACACCTTTTCCCACTGTCCCATGTCACTAAGTGTTGAAAGGAAAGCCAGACTTTAAAGTAAACAATCTGCCTTCTCCCAGTGGACACAAGGATAAGTCAGGTCAGTCCTCCTATTCTCTCCCCCCGTTGTAGCTTGACCTGGATATTCATTTAGAAGATTATTAAGGTCAAAGTACCAAAATATCGTGTCTTAAAAAAGACCGCAATTGTACTTAGAGGTTACAGCTTCTCAACGAGTCCGTCTGCTGAGGAAGACTCTATATTTGTTTAGGAGGAGCAGGCTGGTCTTTTCCAACATAAATATGTGCGCACAAGGCTGTTTCCTCTCCCAGGTCCGTGGGCATGTGGATGGGCTCTGCCTGACCAGCATCCCTGTGGTCAGCTGGCTATTCCACATGGAAAGACAAGACAGCTGGATTACTGGCTAAGCTTCTGAAACGCACTGAGATCAAAGTCAGCCTCACCACGAGGCAAGCAGGAGGCATTGCTCTCAGACTGGAGGAGAATTGAGGTCTGTGGTCCATAAAAAAAAAATAATAAAAAGCAGGGATTTTTCTGCTTCATGAGACAAATGGACAAAATATGTCATGGTTAAGAGCAGGAGTTTGGTATCAGACAGACCTGGCTGAGCTTAAGTTCCAGCTCTCTTACCAGCTGTGTAACCTTGACAGCTTACTTAACCTCTCCAAGCCTCAGTTTCCACAACTGTAAATGCAAGGATAATAATACTACTCACCTCCTAGAATTGCCGGAAGAGGGAGACATGCTTCTAAAGGGGTCAGCAGAGCACTGAGGGCAATTAGTGAGCAACGCTGATTTAGAAAAACGCTGACCTCTACAGGACCATCATCACTAACTCCATAGTGCTTATGGCCGCAGCCAATGTCCAGACACTTCGGCCCCTGTGGTTGCTCCATCCTGTTTTCTCTACTCAGGCAGTCGGTGCTCCAGGGAGTTTGGATGTGAAGTGAGCCTCACCTCAACGCTATGGATATTCTTAACATTATGCTTCTAAGGCTGATAACCTAAACCCAAATGTTTATAATATTTATAATGTTTTCTTTATCAGAATAAAATGGGCTCCAAATTTTAAACAAATGACTTCGTAATGAATTAAAACAAAATCTGTTTGCCAGTTAGCACTTAATGTCTTCCGTAGGACTGACAGCAGCTTTATTATGTGGGTTAAGTCTATTTTAACAACTAAATGAAGCTCCTTAAAATATAATAAATGCATTTTGTGAAGGCCTGTCGTTAGTAGTAGCAATAAATTAGGATTATTGGGTAATAATTATGCGCATGAAAGCAAGCACTTGACACATGGTCTCATTTGATCTTCACGTTATCCGGTGAGGCAGGTTCTACAGTTACTCTCTAGTCAGAGATGAGAACACTGAGGCATGGAGCAGTGAAGTAACAAGCCCAAGGCTGCTCACATGGCAAGAAAAAAAACCCTAATGACGCTGGAGCCCAAGATCCTGGGCCCTACACAATACTGTCTCCATATGACTTGGAAGTGAAGTTTCACCCAACACTGGGACTGCAGAGGGGTCACATTCTTTCAAGGCAATATCTGAACGATGGATAAAATAACATAAAGAGATTTTACTGTACTTATCATTTTAAAACCAAACATAAGCATGTATTTCCTTCCTACATCAAATTTTTATTAGAGGGGATCAATAAATCACCCCAAGATCCCAAATGGCATGATCTCTCATCAATTGTCTGGCTGTCAACTCTTCACCTATGAGACTCTAAAAGAGATATCTTCTTAACCCCCATTCTGTGATATCAGCACTGCTAGTTCACCTTCCCCCGAAGCATGAACAATTAAATGGTGCTAGGCGGGTGAATGTCAACTGGGATAAACCAGGGGTTTGATGTGACCCATCCTTTCTGAGCGTCTTAAAGCCGGCTTCCGGCTAAACTTTCGGCCGTGCCATCTGGCTTTAATATGACTTAAGTAACGACGCAGAGGCATGTGAGCTCAGCGCCTGCAAGGACTTCGCTTCATCATCACGCTGCGCTTGGATAACTCACCCCAACAAATTTCCTAAGAAATTCCCGAGAAGCCTGGATATCTGGGTTGGATAGTTCAATGAAATTTCCCATCATACCCTCTTCCGTAGCTGGTACTTCTTGGTAGAAGAGTTTAGCTCTGGCATAGAACTGCATCTCACCATTGATGACTTGACTCGTCAAAGCATACAGTTTCACTGCAAATGAAATAATATTTATGAATATTTATGTGACAGAACAAAATTCAAATCTTATCACGCATTGATTTCCTCTTAAAAGACTGCGAATCGTGGAGGAAAAGGCACTGGTTCGAAGTCAGAGATCTGGGTCTGAGTTCTGGCTCAGTGACTGACTGGCCGTGTAAACTCGGGAAAACTTCACCTCACTGAACTTCAGTTATCTCATGTATAAATTACAATCATGTGGCATTTTTCATGACTTAATACTCTGCTTCAGTAAAACTATAGCTTATTACCGTATTTACAAAGTTTAGTAGTATTTGCTACAGTAGGATGAAGAATCACAAGTTTTATTACAGTTTTATCTTTGAGCTCCAAATGTTTGATGAGAATCTAATCATTAATCTTTACTTCTAGTCACAGGTAGTTTAGGGGTAGCTATTTTTTCATCTCTTTTTCAGGCAACTCACAGCCAAATATCTCTTTGTACCAATTACAGAAAATGCACTAGAGCTCTATTTTCTGAAAATAAAATAATAAATAAGTTATACTATTTATTGAGCAACTATTCGAGACCAGGTAGTGGGCCAGGCACATTATACTGTGATGTACTATGTCATTTCATTATTTCAGAAACCATATGAGGTATTATTTTAAGACACTTATTTTTAGAAAAACGTGTTTCAGCTTCTGAAAAGTAAATGACTATGCATTTAAATGTGTTCTGTAGGCCAAAGGGCACCCTTGCAGGTACAAAATATTTGCATTAGAGCACATTCTGGAGGGCGTGGCGGAATGTGAACGAGAGGGAGGAGCTTCCGATTCAAGGCTGTAGGCTGAGCACATGCATTTGTTTTCCATCCTTCCCAACGCTCACCAAGAATGGTTCTAATAAACTCAACCCATAATAGTGAAGACAGCGAGAGGGGATCAGTGACGGACTTACGATTTCAACAAATTTCTGGAAGACAAAGAGCAGATGGTAAAAAGCTAAAGAATTTGCAGCCCAGAATAGTTGCAAAATGAAGTAAGAGTTAATCGAAAATCTGTCCATAGACTAACCAGTGAGGGGACAAATGTGCTCTCCCAAAAGCCACAAGGAACACAGCTGTATTCTCAGGGGAGGACGAGCTATGTCTCTTCTCTGAAAATAAATTAATAATTGCTTAAGGATAACTAGACCATCAGTGTTGAGATCCTAGAACACCACTCGTTTGGGCATATAGAGGACTCTAAGCACCTCACCTGCTCACACTCATCAAAGTCTGATAAGATCTACCTGAACATATCGAGCTTCTTTATCAATCCTTTCTATTCAGAGAAGAAGTATATAACAAAGGAGACTGTCTCTATTACCTAGAATCGCTGACCCTGTCCTTCGTTTCTAAATATGGATAAATAATGGTTTTCAAACACATGGAAATAAAATGGCAACCTGAAAGAAAAAGGTGGAGATAAACAATCAGAACTGAACCCAAAGGAAATAGAAATAATTTAGGAAACAGATGAGCATTTAAACCAAAACTAAACGAAACACTCGTATATCCTTGGAGAGGTATGAGACTGGTACATCCACAAATCAAACGTAAGATGCCAAGAAAAAGATAATTCGAAGAATAACAAAGAATTCTTAGAAATTAAAGTTTTGAATACCAAAATCTTTGGAATATAATATCGAGTAAATTTATCAGGACATAAACAAAAAGAATGATATGGAAAATGAAATAGAAATACGAGAGCTATATAAAGGCTTAGTTCAGGAGGCCCAACATCGAGCTGGTTAGGATTCTCAAAAACAGAGGTAATGGAGGGAAGAAAATTATTTCAAAATAGTAGAAGAAAGTTTCCCATAGTTGAAAGAGATTATAAATTCTAACAAGTACTGAGCAGCATGGATTAAAAATAATAATAATTAAATAAAAGCCACATTTATACATATCCGCAGGAAATTTAAAACACAAAAAGTAATAAGATTCTAGGGTTATCTAAAGAGAAAAAAAGTGGTTGACCTTATAGCAAGGTTGCCAGATTTAGCAACTAAAAATACAGGACACACAATTCATTTTGAATTTCAGATAAAAAATGAATAATTTATTAGTAAGTATGCTCAAAATATTGCATGTTGCATGGGACATACTTATACTAAAAACTTACTTGTTGATTATCTTAAATTCAAATTTAGCTGACGTCTTATTTTATCTGGCAACCCAATTGTCAAAGGACTAGAATCAAGCTTGTAACAGAGATCTCATCAGAGACATTGGAAAACAATGGAGCAGTGCATTAAGATTCTGAGGGAGAATTATTTCGAAGCTAAAACATAATCCCTAGTCAAATGTGAAAGAATATTTACCTCCCATGGATTCATTCTTCAGAAGTTCCTTGAAGCTATATTCCAGCCCAATGAGGTTTAAAATCAAGAGAAGATAATGTGGCGAAAAATGATGAAATTAACCCAGGAATCCAATAAAAAGAAATCCCCAAATCACAGATATTTACCAGATCTAGAAAGAAATCAATTTATATTACAACAGAAAAAAACAGGCTTCAAAAACAATATCTTCAAGAAGTACAACAAACTGGATTCTGGGCAATAGACAGAGTAGGTAAGAAGAAAGGAGACATTAATGATATTGTAAGGAAGACATATTTTTAATCTCAACCATCAAAATTAAAAGAGAGTTGAAAGCTCCAAGTAAAATATGCAACAGTACAAAAATGTTATGATCAGGATATGAAGGAAACCAGAATATGACATAATTTTGAGTAGAAGGAATATAAGAAAGAATCTATTCAACCTTAACTAGGAACATCTTTCTTCAGGTAACGCTGAGATCGTGGCATTGGACCAGTGCGCTCCTTGGCTCTGAATTGAACAATAACTACATAGTCTCGATTTTTTATTCTAAACATTAAAAATCCAATAAACACCACTTATGTTGCAGTGCTCCACTATACATGTTCCATCTGTGGAGTCACATCGGTACTTTCCAGCTTGAAGACGCTGGAGCCGATGTTTGGACCCTTGAATGATCACGAATTCGCCAAAAGCGATACCAGAATCAGTTTCTGTGTACATTGTTTTCTAGAGACTAAAAATATTATGTACTGTGTCTCCCATGTATATTAACTGTTATGCATAGAGTATTGTAAAAGTACCGATCTTTTAAAAGTATTAATAAATATATAGATTTTTGCCATTTCATACACAAATTAGCTACTGATTGAGAAAATAGAAGATTAAAAGGAGAGTCCTCGTGTTCACAAACATTGGGATCCAGTGACCTAACCAATCCCCCTTCCCTAGCACTTGCTGAAGTGTCGTATGAACAGCATGTGGCTCAATAGATGCTTAAAAATTCAACAGGGTGACAAAACTCAACATCACCATCTCAATAGCATGACTATTCCAAATTCCTCCGGACGTCTCAGAAACCAGGCTCGGACATCACAGTTCATTGTCTCCCCAGAGTCGAACACTGCCTGGGGTCACCGGCAAGCCACTGCTCAGTCAGTGCTCTCCTGGATCCAAGCAAGGCCACAGAACAGCCACCCTCATCATCACCTGCTTAAGTCAACTAGTTGGTGGAGTCTATTAAAACCCTTAATCTGGAAATGGGAATGGTCCATTATGCCAGCAACATTTAGACCACAAGTAAATGCCAGCCTCAGCAGGGGTCAGACTCCATAGGTATGTTTTTATGGTTATGGGCTTGAATTCTCATTTTCACCTAGTTGACAGGAGCATTTCACTAAAAAGATATATGAGGTGTCATGGCCAGCCCCGGTTTCCCCTCTGATGGCTCCTGCAGTGGTGCATGTTGACTCAGATAAGGTAGTCAGTCTCCGCCCAGGCCTTTTTTATTAAAGAATTACATCTAGTAGCTTATTCTTATGGGATTGCAGTGTCTCTGTGAAACTTGGGGTAGTCTAAGATGGAGACGAGGGACTCTATCAGTCCTTGATATAAAATGGCACTTATTTCTCAACCTACGTTACAAGCAGAACTCCCAAGGGCCTTCCAATGGCTTACTTTTGGCAGAAAGAAAAATCAAGTTCAAGTTCATCTGCCCTGAAGAAGAATAAAGATCTTGTAAAGTCTCTAAGAAAAAAATTTGTTAATAGCTAAGTGCCTATGTTTACTGAATATCTTCTTTTCTTTTTTTCTTTCTTTTTCTTTTCTTTTCTTTTTTTTAATGGTTGGCTATAGCTACATCAGACTTTATTTCAGCATGCAGACCTGTTTGTCAACTGAGAATTGATCTCAGAATCTCCAGAGGATATGTAGGCAAAGTTTAGATGGGACATTTGAAATGATTTGAGACAGAATGTTGGATCAAGTTACCTTTGATTCACAGGGGAGGGCGGGTGATTAGGAAATGCCCTTAGGAAAGATAAGACTGTCTATAGAAGAGATTTGCTCATGAGCAGTTCCCAGTTTAGCCATTAAAGAGGTAATGTTTAAAATGAGAAGGAAGGAAGGAAGGAAGGAAAGGAAGGAAGGAAGGAAGGAAGGAAGGGAAGGAAGGAAGGAAGGGGAAAGGAAAAGAAAAATATCTAGGTACAGTAGAATATTATTTAGACATAAAAAAGGAGGAAGTCCTGCCATTTGTGACAACATGTTGGACCTTGAGGGTGTCATGGTAAGTGAAATAAGGCAGAGAAAGACAAATACAGTATGATCCTTTTCAACTGAGGGCCAGCTCAGTGTTTCCTAAGTTCTTTTCAGGCTTCAGCACAAATGAGGTGACCAGAGTGGGGAGGAGGGACAGGGACCCACTCCAGCAGTGACCCACTCCCACCACTCACACCTCTCACGCCCTGCCCACTTGGCTGAGCGTTCCTAACTCTGTCCCTACCTGAGTGTTGTGCCTGACCTACTGTCACGTTTTAAAAGGCCAGAAGTCAGGCACAGATACCAGGGACAGATTTTTCATGCCGAGATTTTGCATCAGAAAAGTCAGAAGCTGACTCAGCAGTCGCCATGCCTCCTCTGAGCCTCTGCCGCGTCCCGTAGT